AGTCGGCCATCTTAAATTAGATCGTCAACCGAATGAAAGTGAACATGTGTGACATTAATCTTTATGAACTGGATTTGATCCAAAGGTCGTACAGGGAGGGGGGCAAGCTTGTGAGGGGTAGTAAAAGTGGTATCCTGTCCATAAAGGTTATATCATAAACCTTATAGGTATAATTATAAATTTACAGATATAATTTAGAATGACACATTTTGTTTTGATTGTTGAAAGTCAGGGTGCTGGGCTGGGATGGATATGGTAAATCATTGCCCTGATGTGAAGGCACACTTCCCATAGCATTACAAGGCTGGGCAATACAAGGTATACAATAACATGTATAAAGTTTGAATGTAATTGGTTGTCATGGTAATTTTTGTTTCTTATGCACAAGGCAGCTATGTTCTTATGTAAATTAGAACATATGGCATAATTTTATACATTTCGATCTTACCTCCAATAAACAATGTACTGGAAATCAAAAGTGGGAGTGGTCCTTGGTGCTCCCCATGATACCAGTACTGTGTCGTAGGACAAGGCATAGGCATCTACATACTCAATTGTAAAGTTCCTTGCTGCATAGAAAACAAATGGTAAGACGTTATACATGTACAATTCGTTGCTACACTCAATTTCATTGCTACATGTATTTAATAGATGGACATGGCTTCATCAATCATGCCCGGTTAAACACAGGCCTCCCATTGACTTTTTTTAGTTTAGCACACTCATCCTGGTACAGTTGATTAGCCTGTTATTGAGTCTGTGAGATTCGGAGTACAGCAGCTTTGGTCTCCCCATTGAAACTGTGGCACACTTGCCCAGGTTTTGATCAACCACAGGTAAGATATAAACCAGATATACCAATAATGAGTCAGATTCAATGAGGAAACCAAAGCCACTGTACCCTCGGTGATTGTGCCACAGATTTAACTAGCTCACAAATAGTGAAAATTAATCGATTTACAGTGTTATACTTACAGGGACACCCAGTCTCGTCAGAGAGGTCAAGACAATCTACAATAATGTCACATCTATGGTTGATATCAATGCATCTATCTCCATCCAGACACCTCCACTCTCCAATATCACATGGTGCTCTTGTTGGGGTTGACGTAGTTAAGTCTATAAAAACAAATCATTGCTAATAACACAGTCTTTGTTGCAATTAGGAGAAATATTATTCATGTCGAAAATAAAGTAATAAGACCGAAAAGCATGATGGCTGCTAGTTATGTATTGCTACATGCATAAAATAAGCAAACAAACTGGATATGAAAATCAATTGTTTGTGAATGAATTTGTAGTGCATGGTCAGTAATTGAGTGAATAATGGACTAATCTAATATCAACAGAAATCAGATTAATTAATGAATTCTAAATTTTCAATATATGTGGTCAGAAATTTCTATTTGCTATTCCTTATATTAGCACGAGTCAAACAAGAACGTGTACCGTGTTATCCTAAATAATCTATGTACAATTTTTTTTTTACTAATTTTTTTCATTATTTTGATTTTTTTTACTTTAATTTATAAAACATTTGCGACGGAAATATATGATAAATCATACAAAAATAATTAATTTTTCAAAAAATAAAATGCCAGTTTACCATTTTGAACTGACACATAATGAATCATCATGGACATGAATTAAATTTTAATGAAAAACAAAGCATGTCCAAAATTTTCCACATTTTCAAAAAAAAATAAGACGGCTGCCTGTCATCCATCTTTGATTTGAAAGCAAAACGAATCATCATGAACACGTAGACTAACCTGGATAATGTATGCACCAAATTTGAACAAAAATATCATTTTCAAGAAAAAACAAGGCCTGCCAGTCTGCCACTGCATGTGCACATGTTCAACATAAAGTACTAGGCAATGAACTGACAGAGATGAAATTTTAAGTACCCGTTTCGATCTCCGTTCAAATGGGGACTGAAAACAAGTTATCTATTATTATACACAGAGAAATAAATGGTTTATGGAAGACGTACAAGTTTGATTAATTTGATGAATAATTCTCTTTGTTTAATACAAAGCAATCGTCCAACCAATAGCATTGATATAAGTTGTGTCAATATCATATCATGAATTGCATGTAACATTTGATTGACAAACATAGGGGGCCACACTCAAACAGGTGTTTTTAGAACTACAGTTGCACTGAAATAATTTGGTAATATCCAGGTAGAACACTATTCAGGGATTTATGAACAATCACTGACAAGCCACAATCAATTGATAACAGTTCTAACTAGTGTGGTGCTTTCTAACAGACTTGATTTTGTAAGAATCCCAAGTCAAAATGGTATTCACCAAAATCTAATGATTTGAGGCACAACAATTTCATTGTCACTGATTTCCTTCATTTTTGCACTAATTTTGTTTATAAAATATGAATTTCATTAGATTACTATATCGATGTATGATTTTCTGTTTCTGTCAATAATGTGCCACTGATTTAGTTTAATGAACTAGTTGCATCACAGCTGATCTGTGTGTGTCAATGGCGGGTCATATCAACTTAGAGAGCACATTGGTAGGATTTACATAGTGTGGAGTATCACGGACTACATATGTATATGTACCAAGTTCCAAAGATATCCGTGAAACAGCTAAAAATTGACGACTTTATGCAAATTAGAAAATTAATATACACAAATTTCAACCCTAAACTAAAAATATATATTCAATATACCAGACCACTTATGTACAGAATCTCATTGTGGCATTCTTGAGATATCTGTGAAACAGCTAAAAACTGTCTACTTTATGCAAATTAGGAAATTAATATGCACAAATTTCAACCCTAACTAAACATATATACTCAGTATACCAGACCACCTAAGTACAGAATGTCATTGAAGTCTGATGAGGCGTTCTTGAGATATGTGTGAACAGCTTAAAATTTGCTAATTCATGCATTTCAACCCTGAACTATGGTAATCACATATGTAGATTACCCAAGGGCAAACAGATCTATCCGGGGTCCGTCCCAGAGACGAAAAAGCCGGTCCGCCACCCATTGGGGGATCTGCCACTCAGTGTTCTGGGACCAAATACCTCTTGAGAGGGCGTCTGCAGCGCTGTTGCGTTTTCTCCAGAAGGCTGGCTACTTCCTATCGGATCGTCTCCGCCTTGACCTCGTCCCTCGGCAAAAGACCTGAGGGGGGATGAGGAGTCAGGGGAGGATGAGACCGAAAAGAAATCCAATACCCACGTGACACTACTGCGAGCTTCCAGGGATTGGAAATTCTCTTGCGCCAAGCTGGTATGTGCTGCATAAGGTGCGACCCCACGAGAAGGAGCGGACGGGGGTTCGGAGCTAGTGCTTCCCAAACTCCAGCCTCCAGTACGGGATGACGAAGATAGGGAGACTGAGCCCGAGGACTCCGAGTCGTACCACCATCCATGTCCAGGCAGCCGATGAAACCTTCAAAAAGACTTCGCGGTCCCCTGGTCCCCGGAAGTGTCAGAACGCCCACCACCAAAACCACGTTTCTTGGGCTTTTTCTGATGCTTCCCACTACTGGTGTTCTTCTGCCCCTTCTAAGAAGACTATGTGCGCTTTGATTCTCGCTGGTTGTGGCCCCGAGCGAAGGACTTACTGCCTGAGCCACCTTGCGGTTTCGATTTGAACTGTTGACCAGAAGAACTAGCTACCGTGGCCAACAGGGAAGATTGTTTCAATTGGATACGTTGATCCTCAGCAACCGCCAAACCGTTCACCACATTCGCTAACAGGCCACCAAATAGCCGGTCAGCTCCCAAGGCCTTCTCCACAGACGATCAAACTTGCCTCCTGCTGGAGTAGGATAAGCACACAGACTCAGAACTGCCTCTCACTCAACTATAACCGCTCCTGCCAAGAGGGCAATATGGAGAGCAAGATATCCCACATAGCGACTCTCTGCGCAGCCAGGAACTGGCCCATCTGCCCGAGGATCGAGGGTTCGTTGATGAGCACTCAGACTGTCAGAACTTAGCACCTCAGACGCTCCAACACCAAAGAAACCCATTCTATAAAATTGATGGGTCTAAGTTCCGCCCGTAAAGCCTGAGTCACTAGTATGCTCTGGTGCCGGTCAAATGTCCATGCAACGTGGCCTTCCCAATCTGCACTACCCGCCTTAACGAATGTATGGGTAGCGGAGTCGGGTGGGAAACCCGATTGGTTGGGCTTCGTCTGACTGTCCCGACAAAGTGGGGACGAGAGATGACAAAGCGCTCGCCCCCCACTCCTGTTGGGGGAGTGGTAGCTGCACCCCATAAGAGGGTTGCATACCATCCTGTACAGAGGTACCAACACTATATAAACAGGTACCCTCCTTCGCAGAGTCACAAGTGGGAGCAATCTGCGTGGCTTGGTGAGACACAGGAAATAATGCCTGATCAGTCCGAGCCTGAGGGGGTGTGGGGAATACAGAGGAGGATGCGTAAGGCGATCCGCTCCAGGAAGAGGGCCCCCCCTCTATAAAAGAAGTGGATGCTCCCTTTCCGACTGATGTGAGTTATCCCCCTACTGAAGGAGAGATCACTGGAGAGATGGGACACACCTGACCCCCAGCCCTGGTGGTGGAGGGACAGGCAGTATCTCAGCCCGTGCACCCCTACCTGACTTGCGCCCCCCCCCCAGGTCCGCCTGTGTCCTACCATGAGACTGCAGAAGGGAGTTGACTTTTGCAGCTAGATCTTGCATCCAGGATCTCCAAGTCACCTCAGCACCAAGGGAGAGCTAGTCACCTTGACTAATACCGGTAAGGGAAGGCAATGGGGCCTGTCCCTGTGATCTCCAAGCCACCTCAGCACCAAGGGAGAGCTAGTCACCTTGACTAATACCGGTAAGGGAAGGCAATGGGGCCTGTCCCTGTGATTGCACAAGCCACTCAGGCTGCGTCAGTACGATTAAGTCTCGGTGGATTGAACCGGTTCAGTCCCTAAAGGCCGTACTGATTTCACCTCAGTACTTGGTGTCGATGCCAGCGCCCCAGTGGGAACACACTTGTCGCGCGGAGATCGAAAATTCCCATTTATTGTGCAATTATTGATCGATGTTTATACAAATGTTTTCATGTTCTAGTTCGTGTTTATAGTTACTTATACAGGTTTCTCTGATTACGATCCGGCCTTTAGTCGCTGAGTTATAAGCATTACAAGTTTAGAAACAAACACAATCTTACCAGATTGACCATTTTAAAAGTCGGACCCATTGCGAACGTAGGAGAAGTAATCTCAACGGTCACGCGCGATTCACGCAAAACACGTGTCCGAC